GATTTATACGAGGTAGAGCTGAAGAAGAAGAATCATTAGTCACCCATCGCCTCCAGAACAGGCATGCCACACCCATGGGACTTCACCTCCCCACCAGCTGACAGGCAGTACAGCCATCTGCTTGGGCCTGCCTTCACTCTTAGCCACGACATCCCTGAATTTTCCATGTGTGCCTATAAAAGTTCCATTATGTCTCTGACACACTTTTAGGGAAAAAAGAAAAACACTCGGATTTAGTGATACATATGTAGGGAAACTGTTGGTTTTAAAAGGCAAGAAAGTGTTGGACATTATTCATGATTCTAGATACCTTTTGGGCAGGTGTGGGCCATGGCACCAGGGAGAAGTACCACAGTATTGGTCATGTGCGAGCTGGGTGCTATTTTCTCGGTGCTTTATTAGGATGCTGCATTACCTCTGTAAGTTGAATATATCCTTTTGTATGTATAATATTACATAACTTACATTTTTAATCCTCAGCTAGGAGCTTTTACTCATTAGGGCTGTGGTTCCTACATGTTGGTCAAAGGTCCGGTGTTGGTCTGAAATTTCAACTGGTATATGGAATTGTATATGTTCTTCAATGATGTCCTTTCTATTTTATTTGGGGCTCAAAGACCCTTTAGAAATGATCGAGTTAAAAGGATGCAGTTTGTTGTTTTGTTTATTCTGCTGTCTTCACAGATGGCAAACAAAAAGTAAATGACCTTATGGAAGATCTTTACCATTAAAAAATATTTTCCCTGGTCCTTGAAATAAAAATATTGTAGGAAATATCACCTCAGAGAACACAGAACTGTGTTCATTAGTCAAACACCAAGACTGATGATATTCAATGTAGTGATTTTACTTACTGCCCTTTACACAAAATGCATCTCTCCAATTTAAAAAGGTGATTTAGAGGAACCATTGATTGGCCTTATCTAAAGACTCCTGAATAAATTTTAATTACTCAGCAAAGACATACAGTACGTCAGTGGAGCTGGATTCCCAAGCATCAGCAAATGATCATCACAACTAATGTTTATTAAATACTCACTTTATCACTGACCATTTTGTAGAGATTAGTCTCACTTAATCTTTAAGAATGCTATTATTTTCACTTAACTGATAACAAATTTTAGCTAATATCTTGCTCAGCATTACATTAGAAAAGGGGAGCTAGAATAACCAGTTTGGCAGAATGACCCTTCATCAACACTTTTGGCTACTACTTACTCATATAGCACGTCTGGCACCACCATTAAGATGCCAAAAGGCTAGGGGCTAAAAAGTAGTCTTGAGTGCTGAGTTCAGAACTCAGCCCTCTCCCTTTCATTACCTCTCATATTTCTTGAGTTGTCTGATATTTAAGGAATCCAGAATCATAGAGTTTGGAACACTAAGCTTGCTGGAAACATTACTATTTTACCACTGTGGTCTTCAAAGGCATGTGTGAGCAGTGACCTAACTGTACTTATTTCATGTATCCCTACAAGATATTAGCACACACACTGTGTAAGTTCAGTTGTAGGCAAAAGACTGGGGGAGAAAAGCATTCCAGGCAAATTCTAGTGGCTCATGGCTCTGAGGTGTTGTGGGGAGAGGGAAGAAGGTGGTACAACATCCAGCCAAGAGGGTTAAAGAAAGGTTTGGAAGACAGTGGAATAAAGGGTTTGAGTGAGAGGGCTGAAAATGAAGTGGGGGCAATCAGATTCCTGAATCCCCTCAACGAAGGAATAAAGGAAAGGCAGAAGAACGTTCATAGTGCTTCAAAGTAATGTTGGCTCAGTAGAGAACTGGGAAAATGCACATATAAGACAATGAGTTCTAATTCATATTGTAATAAAGTGAAAGCTTTGAGCTATGCTCCTGTTTTCTCCTTATTTTTATTTTTTTACAGAGTGAATGAGCAAGCACATTCAAGTGGGAGACAGGGAGTGAGGGAGAGAGAGAAAGAGAGAGAGAAAGAATGAATCCTAAGCATGGAGCCAGATGAGAAGCTCAATCTCATAACTCTGGGATCATGACATGAGCCGAAATCAAGAGTTAGAGGTTCAACCAACTGAGCCACCCAGGAACCTCCTGTGATCTCAATTTTAGATTCTTTAACTCTTCTCATTTGTCTGTGAGCATTTGCCAAGATTCTCCTCAGCCCTACATACTGCTTCCCAGCACTTTGAAATCCTTAAGAATTGCATGTTGTTTCTCCCAGACTTCCCCTTCTCTCTGTTATCCTTCCTGTCCTGCCTATTATTGTGTAACAAACCACCCCAGATCACAGTGGCTTAAAACAACGTGCTATTATTTCCCATAGTCTTGTGAAATGACCAGGTTCAACTGGGTGATTCTTGGGCAAGGTCTCTCATGTAGGTATAGACAGATGCTGGTTGGGGTTGGAGTCCTCCAAAGTCTCCCCTGGATTGGGCATCTAAGATGGCATCTTTACAACATGTGTGGTGCCTCAGCTGAGGTGATCAGAGAACTGACTGGACTCTTCCCGCTCTCCCTCCACCTGTCTCTTCGTGTATACCATACAGTCTCTGTACATGGTTGGCTTGGGCTTCGTCACAGCATGGAGGGTCAGAGTACTTGGACTTCTTACATGGTAACCATCTTTCCCCAGATAAGCATTTCAGGAAACCTAAATGGAAGGAAGTTCAAAGCTTGGAAGTCACTCAGCAGCACTGTTGCTGCATGTAATAGGTTCAGAGAAGGTCACAGAGTTCACCTCAGGGGAGGGGGACCACCCAGTAGTCTGAATGCAAGGAACTGCGGTTTATGGGGCTGATGTACTTGTCCAAAACTAGCTACCACATTTCTGATTTATTGAAATTTCTGTTTACTCCTTATAACTGAAATATCTTAAGTTACTATCTTATATCTTGTGTCACATCCATTATTTCTTCTAATTATCGTTTATACTAATAGTGATTGAAAGACTTCTCTGAGGAATTCTTATACATTCTTTCAAATGAATCTTAACAACATATTTTTATTTATTGATATTAAAATTTAAGCACCCAAAATACCCTTATACAAAAGGTATGTGACTGGGTTTTGTTTTATAAAGTCTCTTTGGGAAATCAGATTTAATTCACTTTTTAACCACCAGTGATAACATATCACACTTAAAAGGCAGATCAGTTTTAGGGAAAAGTGATATGCCCTCATGTATGGGTGTCCTTAGGTGAACTCACCAACAAGATTGCTTTTCATGCTTAGCCACTAAATTAGAAAACCTGGTCTCTTGTTGGGGCTGAACCATGATTTACTTTGTGGTTAGACCTTGTTTTTTCATTTTTTATATCAAGCTCTTACACAATCCAAAGCTTATTTTTTATACCACTCCCCAAATAAAGAGATAACTTGAATCTAAAAGATTTTAGCAAACTCAATGTGGCAGTAACAGAAATTCTTTATTTAAAACCTCCTACCTATATACGGCTTAACTTTCCTTAGCTTCTGCAATTGCCATTGAGGTCTTAGGTTCTTATAAAGACTTATTGGCGTTTTGTTTTGTTTAAAGAAGCTAGATCTCCAACATGTGGGAGAAAACGGACAGTTGGAGGTGGCAAATAATTTGATTTTTTTTTCCTTACCCACAGCCCTGGGAAAATTCTGCCATAAAGGATTAATTTGCTCATGAGATTTCACTGCAGTTGCCATTAAGAAAAAAACTAACAGGAACGGTAGGGCAGAAGTGTTTCCAAACCCCAGAGAAAAGAGTCAAGGATTTATGGTGGGAAGGAGAGCAGTCCCCTCCCTTTTCTTTTTTTTTTTTAAACAACGCTTATGAGTTAAGCATCTGAGGTTGATACCATTTGTCTCACACAGGACTTTATACAGACAACTGGAACCTGACTCTGAAAAATGATTGTAATCAGTGGTTGTAGTTTTCCATAATTTATCTTCATGCAGCAGAAAGATTTCAATTTTTAAAAATCCAAGGGTGCCTGGGTAGCTCAATCGGTTAAGTGTCCAACTCTTGATTTCAGCTCAGGTGATGATTTCATGAATTGTGAGATCAGGCCCCATGTGGGGCTCTGCGCTGACAGTGTGGAGCCTGCTTGGGATTCTCTCTTCCTCTCTCCCTGCCCCTCCCCTGCTCTGATGCTTTCTCTCTCTCTCTCAAGATAAATAATAAACTTAAAAAAAGGACATGTTTTAAAAAGTAAAAATAAGAACATTCAGGTTCAAATCTTTCCTAGTTTTTAGAAAAGCTTAGAAAATAGCAAGCTATGCCATTGGCAGTTGGCTTGCACGTGTCCATGCCCACACTTGGGTCTTACACACAGATTGAGTGGAGGGGTCCTTGCCTCAGATTCCTGCAGCCCTCCGTTTCTTCCTGGCAAGGGAGGGCATTTTCTCTGAAGCCTAACCCTAAACCCATCAACAAATATTTCCATAGAGCAGCAGGCAAACTCCGAGGACCCTCGGAGCTTCAGGCTGAGGTCAGAGCACTGCTCCATCCCTCCCACTATCAGGACCCCTCCCAGAGGTCAGCTCAGGGCTACCCTTGGTCTAACCAACTGCTTGATGAAAAACCAGTGAACCAACCTGAGGGGGCCAGGCAGCAGGAAGGAAAGGGGGCAGAGAGGGGGTGACCAGGGCCAGGATCACGGGGTGTGTTCTTATTCATTTTCTCCATTCTCACAACTTCCTTGGGAAGCCCTGTTAATTCTTGTCTTTGTGGATGGGGACGCCCAAAGCCAAGAGTTTAAAATAACTTGCTTTTATGAAACGTAGTTCAACCAAGTATTTAAAGTATTTAAACCAAATAGAATCTAAGAGTTTTATTTAATCCTAGGGTCAAATGAAGGATTTTAATCTCAGCCTCTGTAACAGGTCAGCTACTCATTTGGTTCTTGCCACCACCCTGCCCCCCTCCATCCCCTCTCCTAAGCCATTGGTAACCAGTAATCCACTTATGAATTAAAATGGGGCTGCTTTCTTGAGATGAGCCTGTGGCACTTAGTCAAGTAACAATAGTTGTCACTCTCTCTTGTTTAATCTTATAGTGGAGCACGAGAAGGAGTTCTCCCCTGGCCAGCGATACCACAAAGAGTTCAAGTTCAACTTATCCCAGATTCCTGAGGGTGAGGCGGTGACGGCTGCAGAATTCCGAATCTACAAGGACTGTGTTGTGGGGAGTTTTAAAAACCAAACTTTTCTTATCAGCATTTATCAAGTCTTGCAGGAGCATCAGCACAGGTATGAAGGCTCAAGAAACCCTGAAGGGTGGGGCTGGCCCCCATTTCTCACCCTGCCATCACCTGACCCCGAGTGTGTCTGTGGAACGTGATGTGGAGTTCAAGGGCAGCACATGAGCATGACAAGGGATGTATTCTGAATGGTAGCGTTTGGCCAGCAGGGAGATTTTTTTGTTATTAAAATGAAGATTTTTTCCAAATAGTTTTCTGTTCCTACGCAAGCCAGTGGACGGTCTTTACGAAGCATCCTTTGTGATCAGAGAACATGTGCCTTATTGGGCAAAAAACGTATCCCATTGTTTTTCAGTGCCTACTTTGGATGATGGACCGAGGGTGGCTAAAATAGATTCACACGTGACAGTTATGTAAGGATGCTTACAAATGATACTAATTCAAGTGAATAGAAAGCTGTGTGTTTGCATATAATATATACATCTCTATGATTTATCTTTGAGCACGTGTGTCTCAAATGTGTCTCATTTGGATACAAGGCAATAATAGACCATTCCCCGCCCTGCCCCCATGTCTGTAATATTCTTGTTTTTTGAAATGAGGCCAGGCTGGTTTTACAAAGGAACTTCAACAGAGCATGTTCTCAGGGCTGCCCACCAATAAAGAAAAACTTCCACAGAGTGGTTTCTGGAGGATTAGATGGGCCAAGGAGAAAAATGTTACAGCAGCCAGTTCAATCCTATAGCACACAGAAAGTAAGCCAGTGACCTTGACTTGTGCTTAGCATTTGGGGGTCAGTCAGTTGGGTAGTCCGGCGAGACTGGTAGGCCTGATGCACAGATTAGCACTGCCACATACTTCCTCATGTCGTGGAAATGCAACACGTGGTGTGAGAGCCTGGCTGTTATATGGTAAATAGGCAGATAAAAATGAAAGAGAATGCAGAGAGGGAAGGAGCCCCACATTTGCAAACTCTGTAAGGGATTTACCAGCATTGGTTTTATACACCAGTCTAGATTCTGGCTTTTTTGGTCCTGGATGTCCGTTGAGTTCTCAAGAATGTCCAAGGGTTTAGGGATGACTTTGGTTTCTCCTGGACTTAGGCATCTGTGTGTGGGTCTGCCACAAACAGGCATGCTAAAATAACGAACCTTAACTTGCCCCATAAAACGCTTACTTTGAGAGCACTGCCAACATTTGGCCCCCGTACATTTCAAGTAATGAGGGAAACAGAGAAGAAGGAAAGACCCATGCCAGGCTTTGGGGACACGTCATGGTGTGGAATATATGCACTGATGGTTGTATGTGAGTTCTTAGGTGGGGTAGTTATATAATAAGTAAAACATAGCTATTGTGGTGTCTGTTGCAAACCAAAATTTCAGAATGAAGGGAAAGTTTTCTGATGTCTGATTTTCACTCCTAAATAAAAGCATAATTAATAACTGTTAAGGGAGGGTCTCTTTTGAAATAATAAGTTATTGGTGTGTAGACTTTTATCTTCTGATGTTTTAGAGAGAATTTATACTCAGTGGTGACTTTTTGGGCCTGCTTTAGCCATTGATTTTCAATCTGCCTAATTATTTGTCCATTTATCTGGCAGAAATAACCTACTAGTACTGGCGACTGGTGGCTCAGTCGGTTAAGTATGTGACTTTGGCTGAAGTCATGACCTTGTGGTTCATGAGTTCAAGCCCCGTGTCGGGCTCTATGCTGACAGCTCAGAGCCTGGAGCCTGCCTTGGATTCTGTGTCTCCTTCTCTCTTTCTCTCTGCCCTTCCCCAGCTCATGCTCACTTCCTTGTTCTCTCTCTCTCAAAAGATAAACAGTTAAAAAAAAAAAAAAACTTACTAGTACCTTTCTGGCTCAGGCATTTGTTTGGAATACATAGCTTTCTCTGTTCTTCAGGAAAAGCTTTATAGTGAAAACACTAGATTGGGATTTTTGTAACTATGGGATTTTTCAAAATTATTATTATTTCACAAATAGAGCTAGCAGACCATTTGTAAGGTTTATCTTGAACTCTAGCCAAAAATGAACAGCTGCCTTGTGCTTAAGATGGTGGTGTCATACTTTCTCAGGGCCAGCAGCGAGTTTGGAAAACAAAATCCCAAACGGTCCCAACTTTGATGACTGTGTCAAAGCAAAGTTGTAATTTCTCTGCCTTCTAGGATGAGAGTATTTGGCGGTCGGATGTATTTAACTTCTGTGCATAGGAAAGGGGAAATATGGGGAGGTTTGGGAGAATTTCAGGCTTTTGAAGGGCTCCAGGTTGGCAAAGAGGAGATTTTTCTTTTCTTATCGGTAGGCCAGGAGCCCAGGCCTCCTGCCGTCTCGTTATGTTCTTCCAGAGACCTCCAGATTTAACTGCAGGACTCCTTCTGGGGAAGGTTTGATCTCCCCATCTGTACCATCTCGGGGTGTCCTGGCTAAAAATGATCCTGCAGGCTTGTGAAGAAACTTACTGGTCTAATCTGTGTTTAAGTGAAATTTGTAGAATTTTATGGATTAACTTACTTTAACAAATGTTTGTTTTGCAAAAGAGTTGGCCTCCTTGAAAAAGAAAAATCTAAAAGGCAGGTTTTTTGATGCTGAAGTCATAGCCTCAGCTAAGGCAGAAGAAGTGATATGTTGGAGCCTCTTGATATAAAAGCAGCTAAGAAGCCTGACCCAGGGTAGGGTCAGAAAAGATTCTTGGAAGATAGGTTGTTGCTGTGAATTCTGCAAAAACCTATTCCTCTTACTGATAAGAAATCACTGGATCAGGTAAGTTCCAGAAAGTGACTACTTGAATAGATGGCGCTTTGAGTAAGAACAGGGAAACATTTGATACTTTATTCAAAAACTGAGAATATGCCCTGAGATAGAATCTAAGTGCTGAAAAGATCTGGAGTGACCCATAGAGCAGTATTGGATCAGCAACCCAACAGTGTGTGCAGTTAAATCAAGTAGCACGCGGTGCCCTTTGCATGTGGTGTTAATATCTGGTGTTACATACATCGTTATGTTTTGATGATGACACTGGTGGAAATTGGCACTCGCATACCACTTAGAGTTTAGACAGAGCCTTCTCACATATCCCCCCACTAGGACTTAATTAACCATTGACCCCATCAGCTAAAGCAGGCGGTCATGTTTCCTTTTAGAGAGTGAAACGTGGCACGTATGAATTTTGCCAAACCCAGTGTAGGCCTATGTTGTCGGCTGCTGTTTCCCAAAAGTCATGCTGATGACATGGGGACAGTCCCAAGATAAAGGTGAAGTGCCAGAAAGAGGTCAGCAGTCCCCTTCTGGCACGCCCGTCATCTCCATCTGCTTAGCTTTGATGCAACATTCCCAAGGATGCTTCTGTTTGGATGTCCAATGACACAGGGCTCTGTTGGGGATGCACGTGTGTTAGAATTCAGGCCCTGCTTCTTTGGCTTTCCAGGCTTTTCTACAGAAAATTTTTGTTGAGCTATTGAGCATCTATTAGCTTTTCCAGAGGAAGGATGTGGATGAGAAAAAATACTAGAAATTTTTATACAAAAGTATTTGCACTTAGTCTGAGTGTTATCTGTTTGTCCATTTACTTTACCATGTTCTCCTGTAACTCATGCACACTTTAGCTGTCTTCATACTTGGAGTGTAAAGGCTGCTCTGAATACCTTTGGACCTTCTATATTCATGATGGTAGCATGTTGCTTTTCATAACGTGCTCATGATCTTTACTTTGATAGCACCTTTAGATTAATAGTGCAATTTTGAGGCCTTTCAAGAAGATCATTTTCACCTACATTTCTACTTGGGTTAAAGACACTCTTTCTCTGTTCTTAATTGAATTTCATCTACTTAGAAGTCAAAGTCAAACAACATTTCTTGAAAGCCCACCAGAAACGTTTTCAGGGTCTGAAAAATGGTACTGTTTGGTACAGGCACTAGCCTACTCGCTTCTGCTGGTTTTGAAATCCCATAGATATGTTTTGGCAATTGCATTGCTGGAAGTGATCCTTTGTCTTCTGTGTATGTGATAAGTTCTCTGTGTTCTATCATGGGGCTATCTTTTTGGAAGACATTCAGAGCGAGACTTAATTCCCAAATTTAAAATTCAATTCCTCCTGATAATAAGCAACATCACAACATATTCCTCTATTTGCAAACAGGCAATGTTTTGTTGTTGTTTTAATTCATGTGTTTCATCCTGACTTCCATAGCCAGGATGACTAAATGTGACGAAATGCATCTTTGAATCAAGGGAAAAAGGCAATGCTACCTTCGAGTTGGATTTTGAAACCAAGAAAGATTTCCTGGGGCCACCCAGAAGCCATGCTGGTAGATGGAGTCCCTGGGAACAAAATCAGATCGAATTCTTGCCTGAACTAAATTTTTGGCCAAGTTCACCATTTCTGACCCATTTTACAGACAGAATATGATTGTTTCAGGAGAGAAAATAACTCTCAAAGGCAAAAACGCATTTTTCCAAAATTTTTCGTTTGATAGTGCTCCTCTGAACCATTCATAGAGACAGGGAACACAGGAATATGCGAGGGAAGGGAATTAAGAAGGAGTTCAGGTTTGGACATGATTGAGACATGAGCGGATGACCAAGAAGTTTTCAGCTGAGCATAATGGGCTAACTAGAGTAATAGATATTGGAGATCCTAAGTGAACAGTGAAATAGATTAGATAGCCTCACTGTGTACGAATAGAAACATATAATTGACCCGGTATCATTTATTGAAAATACTATCCTTTTTCCATGCACTTCAGCAGTATCTCTGTCATAAACCAGCTAGCCATGTTTGTGTGGGTCTGGTTCTAAGACCTTTAATCTGATCCACCGATGGACTTTTTTTGCACCGATTTTATACTCTTCATTCTCTCAGTTTTGTAAGAAGTCTTGAAAAATGGTATATAGGTTCTTCAAAATCTGAGACTTCCTCAGCTATTTATTGCCTTTTGCATTCCCATATAAATTATAAAATTGCCATTTTAATTTCCACAAGGAAACTCGCTGGGCTTCCAATGGTAATTGTATTAAATCTAGAGATCAATTTGGAAAGAATTGACTGT